ATTATAAAAAATTTTAATTTTATTTCATATTTCGCTCCTTCTTTATTCAGTCCTCGGTTAGAATTTTCTTAAAACAAAAGGCAGTACGGGCCTAGAAGGCGCTGTGAAGAAAACAAGAAGGGGCCGGAACAGCGGCCCAATACATATCGTTCTTTTCTTAAACACATACCGTTTTTATATTTTTCCGATTATTCTCAGCAAACAGTATTGATAGTTTTGAATTCATACAGCACGCAAACAGTTTACTTTTCTCACAGCGCCTGATTAACTGTTGTACCGTTATAGCGCACATATGTGTTATTAATGCAAAAAAATATTCCATTAGTGCTTTGTCTAGAGATGTCAGGCAACACGTAGATCGTTTTGGATTTTTTTCTAACGAAAAATCTAACAGTATCGCTACTTTTTTGCACAGTTATGTGATCCTTCAGCCTAACTGCTAACAATAACACCCACAAGTTATGACAGTCAAAAAAGAACATAGGGATTTCCCGAACTAATGAATAAGAATTTTTTAGTAAACATAGATAATTTTTTGAACCACATCGTGCAAAGATTTCGAAATTCCCCAAGTGATGAAGGTATGCAAAGTAGAGTAGCACTGATGTCACATGTAGTACTTTGAACGCATGAATCCGCCAGTGGGGCAACCAATCCCTCTACGACATGTTCATTCGTTTCGATGGTAAATTGATATATGCCAGGGAGGCAAACCTATCAGCCTGCTTGTAAGCAACCCTCGAAGGAGAGGACCGTCAAAAATCCAGCCAGGAAATGGTTGCTGCTGGCATTTGCTACCACTCGGACTACTTTTTGAGTGGCTCTGCCTCTCAATGACAGCGAATATGGAAGGGTTTTGATTTTCCACCAAATAAATTGGCCAGAAAAATATGAGGTGTATGGCGGCGCAAAACACCACAGTATTTGAAGCGAGAGTTGAAAACGAACGAATCGATCGGTATTACGCATTTCTCGGGTTACGCTCGGCGATACCAATTCTTCAGGAACCGTGAAATTGTGAAGTTGCAGGACAAAAGTGCCACCTTTGTTGTATCCAAATGTTGTCAACAGAATGTTCCGGCGTGCATCATCCTTTAAAAAGAAACAGATTTCTCAAAATACAGAGACATCGCGACAAAAGACAAGAGCAACAGATCTGAAGAAGCGGATAATGCTAAGGTACTAGTGGCATATATGTGCCAATAAGCAATTATAACCAAGCCTAATAAAAGTAGTGAAAGCAGTAGTGTAAATGTACAGTTGACTACTATATCGATGAATATATCTCAATGTCATGTCAAAGTTGCATAAGCGTACAAGGGACCAGTGAAATTTAGGACTTACTTGTTATTTTTCAAAGTTATTTTCTTAAATTTCAGTAAACGCAC